TTGGCGTCTCCCGGCAACTTGTCGCGTTCGTATTCCGAAGGGTAATGCGACCTACGCGACGCGACACGGCCGCTGCGTACTACTCGAGTCTCACCGCGCGAATAACAACAAAGCAGTGCAAACATAACGCCGACCGTGCCGAGCGTTCAACGTACGTTTCAAAATGCCGATCCGCGTGATATTTAACCTGCAACGACGAATATTTTTCCGCCTCTCAAATAATCGATTTATTGGAATCATGCTGAATTCGCTTCAGATATGCGCATCCGGGATAAAATGATAACGAACTAGTTTAATGCGAAACAAAGATAAACTTTATTTTCCTCACATTTAGATTTGTTAATTCTTTCGCGCGGAGTAATTTATCACCCAAGCTGCGAAAATTAATAACAGACTACGGATCGATGCACATGTGTGAGCAGAGTTAAATATTAATTTACACATTAACGGGTCTGAACGCGTCAACGCTACCTTTGATCGGTTTTAACTTGAAAACTATTTGCGACCCCGAGATTTTCAATTTTCCTGCTCTAATTAGTTTCTAAAATACGCTGTTAAAGTATTGCACGGTAGTCGTGGCGTATATGAATTTTTCAGAAAAATATATTTTATTCTAAGCTCGTTAAAGCTGGTAAAATGTTTAATAAAACGTAGTGAAATTTTCTACTTTCTGCGAACTTTATGTTTATATTAAATACAAAAATTGTTAAAATTGTTTTCTCGCTTCCGCGATAGCAAACTCTCGGGACCGATCGATTTTACTGCCCGCTTCTTATCCGGTTCTAGGAATCAATTTGACGACAGAAGAGTAACAAGTAGCATATAAAATCTTATAAGTTTCCAGGAGATTGTCCAATTTCGTTGCATCAATCGGATAAAACGAATACGCTGAGACATATATATACATACTGGCGCGCGCGCGCGCACGACCAATATATCGATATATAATATGTATCATACATATGCATATGTAATATATATGTATGAAACTTTATATGTTATAACTTCAAATAAAACCGCGGAACTTAAATGGATGAAACCACAGGAGAGGAAACTGTCTCACAAAGCGAACTCTCGAAAAGCGACTTACGCCGTTTTACATGCGTGAGCGTGTGTGTGTGTGTGCAGTATATGTGCAAGCCAAGGTAACCACGCAAGCAAAGAGAAAAGTTCAAGATAGACGAAGTGCGCCCAAGAGAGAGAATATTCGAAAAGATACGAACTACGCTTCCTCTAAATCCGTTCTATTGACCTTCGATAATCGCATGCAAAAGAAGCTTTTATCTGGAGAAGAAATATGGGGGAAAATCCGTCTCATTAAAGATAAATTATTTTGTAATTTTAATAACAATTTTTCTTCGAGAAAACTTTAAGTTTCTTAATACTGAAAATATTCAAACGGATTCTTTGTTACTTTATAAGAAAGAAAGAAAAAGAACGTTTAATATTCTTCTATTAATATCCAGGAAACTTTTTTCAGTAAAATTCGATGCTAAACTTGATTAACAAGTTTAAAAATACGACAGATACCGTATTTTCCTTAATTCCCACTTAATCTTTCTCAAAGGAAATTGATTCAATATTACCAAACGATTTAATATTATGCAGTGTTAAGATATTAATCTTTTGTTTAAGTCCCTAATAAAATAAATAAATACTTAAAAACTTATTTAAATTTTTAATTTAAATATTTAATTAAATTTAGTTATAGCTAGTCACATATAACTAAATCAGAGATAAAAAGATAAATTGAAGAAAAAAGATCGTAAGATAGCAGCTTTCTCTTCTTTGTAACATTAAGAGAATATTATCTTTCTGCATATTGTCTGATAATATGGGTATAAATTGCAAGAGTTGATTAAATTTCTGACAGAGAACTCTGTAATGAAGAATAAAAAATAACGTAGTCGAAGTAGAACGTTGCCACGAATGCAACAAAAGGACACTATAGTAATGAATAGGCAGATTGTCAGCAAAGGATATCTCCGGAGTTTCCATTTCGAACGCGGTGCATTTAATGAGGGTTGAATTCATCACTTGACAGTGATGCTAGATATCAATTAACGGAGAAAAAGCCCCGCGGGCCACTTTTACATCGCCGACTGCCAACTAGAACGATCTCGCTGTGTTTCAACAGACAATCAAATAAAAGCATAATTAAAAGCAAAAAATTTCAAACGCGTTAAGTGTCAGAAAGCTGGTTTTCTTTAATATCGGGAAAATGTCACGTTTGCGATTTTTATTTTATTATAAATATCGTTTGTTGATACTACAATCTCGGTTCTCCAACAAACTATCCAATCACTTCAAATACAAAAGATAAAAGGAAATATTTTTATAAGAAGAACCCCCCCAATATAATTGAATGCATTAACTAAGAATTTCCGACAACTTTCTCTTGTGGAAAGAATGTTTCTAACATATCGATCCGTTTACTGCATAATGTTATTATAATTTACCAGACATTGCTTCAAATGTTACATTCAACATATTTTTGTTCGATCTAGAGAATACACAGGGAAAATAACGAGGTCTTTTCGGATCTAAGATACCATATTTTTGAAAAGCGATGAGGCGCGAACGATGTATAAACATATTTATAACTCGAGTATTCTCATAATCCCGTAGAGTTTCACCCCAATCATGAGGCAACGAATACTCCCTCGTCTTTCAGTAAATCTCAGCAATATCGTGTAAATATTATAGCACGCTTGAGCGATTTAAAATGCATCACTCATCGACTATGCAGATGCAAAATACGGTGACACCTTGAGGAAGCAGATACCTATTGATTCGCGCCGACTTTGAGTCGTCGTGATAAAAACTGAGAAAGAAAAAAAAGCGCGATTACGTCTCGCTCCGCAAGAAACATTGATCTCCAATAATTTATGTAACATATTACCCGTGCGCCGCGCACTTGTCATGACGTAACCAATTTACATTACACAGTCAATTACAGTCAATTTTCATTCGTCGTAAACAAACTCCAATATGTTCCGGCGATAACTAATGACAAACGCAGCAGTTATTTTAATATACGTGTGCAATATCTAAAAACAGAACATATCGTCGATTGGTGTCAGCGAAAAAATAGAGAAGTCATATTATACCAAAGATGGAATGTATGAATGAATGAATGGAATACATGTCAAAGTTCCGTTTTTCCATTATTTTTCCGCGTTGGCAGTAGTTTCATATTATTTTTCCAAAATAACAACAATTTTAAAAAAATTATAAAGAACGGAGGAAATTACGAACGTTTACTAAGTTCATCGCAAAGTAACGATAAAAGCGTTTTACGAACCTGCATAAGTCGCATTTAAGTCACGAAATTCTTGAAGATAAAGAACAACGATTAAGATATGAATGTCCATTTATGAAGTCACTATTTTTAAGGACAATACAATTAGCTATTTCTAACGGCAACATATTTTTAACGTCTATTCTATTAACGTTGCATCTTTCTCGTTGCGTTAAAGTATAAATTCTCAAAAATATAACTCTCGAATTTATTAAATATTCATTAACCGATAGCTTATTCGTGAGTAAATCTTAAAAATAAACCTTGAAAAAATATAGAATTAAAATAAAACGCAATTTTAACCAGATATTATTTTTTGCTTTTAATCTCACGAGTAAATATATCTATCTAATAATTTACTTAATAATTAATTATTTGATAAAAGAAGAACCATTTAACATACACATCGGATATCTTTCGGATATATATTGTGCTTTATCACGCTACAACGATAAATCTAGTCAGAGTTTGGTTTGATAAATTAATTTTGTTGCAAACCCACATTCTACTTTTTCAATACACTTATATTTATGGATAGTAACCGAACTTTCTCTCGAATCACGGTGACAAGAGTATCGTCTCGTCACATTTCTCGCACATCTTTCTAACCAGCAACTGTAGCACGCGGCCTAACAAGGATTCTCCTTCGTCCTTTATCGTAAAGAGTACACAAGGCACTTTCCGCCGAGCGGAAACTATTTTTAGATCACCGGAGAGCTCTCCATTTGGCTCAGCGACACTTCCACGAGGAACTAAGGAAACTGGTAAATACCGGAATGTATACCGCGTGCCATCCCGTATAAATCCCGCGGGTGCAATCCTGTAGAGGTAGTCCATTATGGTGGAACGAACCGTGGACTCAACGGGATAACCGAGAAATCTCTTCAGAAGGCACTTCAAGCGAAAACGCGCTCATCCCGTGAACCAATTGGATAACGAGCGATAAAAATTTTAAGATTTAAATAATCTGCAACGGATGGAAAGCCGGAACGCTCCGCGAATTAATGTATCCCGTATTCGTTTTCATCGGAAATTATGTTTTGTTTCTTTTCACATATAAAACAGCTTGTAATGAAATTTTTCTTTTTTTTCTCACAACAAGATCATCTTAAAAAAAAAATGAAACGCGCATAAATGTTTATATCAAATTATTACTCTGAGACTGAAGAAACAAAGGAATCAGTTTTGTTATTATTGGAAAATATCGCGCTCGCTCTATTATATTAATAAATAAATGCTTTCTCTCTCTCTCTCTTTCTCTCCCTCCCTCCCTCCCTCTCCCCCTTTCCCTCTTTCTCTCCCTTTCCCTCTCCCTCTCCTTACGTTATTAACTTAAAAACTATTGGACCGAATTTTTACCACAAGTATATAAAATAGGGGTAGAATTTTCCGGAGAGTGCTATAGAGTGTATAGTTTTTCGTTATCTATTTTCTGGAAACCATTTTTTTAATTTTTTTAATTTCACCCGTAAGAATTAAAAAAATCGGTTTCCAGAACATCGGTAACGAAAAACTACACACTCTATAGCACTTCCCGGAAAATTCTACCCCCATTTTATATACTTGTGGTAAAAATTCGGTCCAATAGTTTTTAAGTTAATAACGTACAAACATACACCACCCGTAAGAATTTATTTTATATATTAGTATAGATATAGATGGAAGAGTTAATAACAACGCTAAACATAAAAGAACTTACGTTTATCTCCGCCTTTTATTTCTTTGGGTTCCTATGTCACTTCTTCAAAGGCTGCCTTTTCTTCCTCTTCTCCCTCGAAGAAATTTCCGAGATCAGTAATCCTCGCACGAATCGAAGCAGCACGATGCTCAAGTTCAAACTACGGAAATTTGTTCCGTTTTCACAAAACAGAAGGCCATGACTCCTGAACGACGGTAACGATCTAGAAAACAAACCAATCGCAATCAAAGATTAGATTAGATTAGATTAGATTATGAAATATCTCAGAAACATTATTTATCTCTAGTGTATAATAGCTGATGAAAAAGTGTGTCTTGAGTACAATATAAGTTTCGATAACGCAATATCTAATTTATCCGATAAATCTTGCGTACAATTTTTTATTAGTAAAATCTTTTATATTTTTATGAGAAATAGATATATATAAAAATGTATAACGCATGCACAATACAGTGCAATATTGACAAGACTTTTCCAATCGTCATAGTACAATAAAGGTTTTAAAATTCGGTTATTCTATATTTCTAGAATATATGATATTCATACACACATGTACATATGTATATTGCTGGCATATCACAACTTCGATTCTATTGAAACGATTGATATCGATTCTATCGATTTCTTCTATTGAAAAACAACTAGACAGATAAGCGAATAAATTGATATTTTGGATTAAATAGATAAATTTTAAAAGCAATATCTCTCCTCTATGAAATATTTAATGGTTAAAACCACAGCTTCTCTCTCTTTCCATATGGAATACATATTTAATTGTTTGTGAGATTGTTTAATAAATCTTGGAAGTTTTTAAATCTATATTTAGAGGAAATTATAAAATTGAAAACTAAAGCTATTTATTTAGACAAAAGCTATAAATACTGATCTTCAAACAGTGATGCGAGAACACTCAAACGAATTGGCCGCGGCAACAAATTGGTGTCCCTTTTTTTTTAACGCACTCTACGATGACAAAGAGCTCTTTACCCAGTACGCGATTTGAGGCGAGGAAACGAGGATTAAACGAGAGATCCGGCGCGCGGCGACTTAATGCGACGCGTAAGAGGACTAATGCGCACAGATTTGTCGAACGTCGTCACGTAGTCTTACGCATTCAAGTGCGCAGCGAAACAAGTTAATTAAGAGGACCACCCACGGCAGTATTTTCGTTCCTCGACGAGATTGGCGACATTCCAAGTGCGGCACTCGAGAGTCGATTTTCCGCTTTTGTATATATCGTCTTCAAACGCCTCAACATCGACACCTCTCGGAATCGAGCATCGATTTCCATTATCTTTCCATTATAAGAAAGTTATAAAGTACATTTTCATTTTGATTGCAGTTGATTAATTTGATAGATAAATAGACCGATTCGTATTTATTAAATTTCTCAAAATGAGAAACAGAAATATGCGGAATAAATTGCGAAATATAACTCTCGCGAATATAATTTCAATTATATAGATATCATGTATGGAAATAGCATTTTTCTTTTTATTATCAAATCACATAACCGTATTACTTGTTTAATGCATTAATCGATCAATAAATAACGTTTCATTATTATTATTAAATAAAGAAGTAGGTAAGAATGCGAAATAGCAGACATAATTTATAAAAACAAAACTCTTTACAAAAAGTATATTTCATATGACTTCATAATTATGTGGAGCATCATACAATAACTAAGAAAGGAAGTCAGAACCACATCTCTTATGAATTGCTTCTTTATTATTTCATACTCTATTCATACTCTATCTTCTTCGGTATTACATCTTCCTAGCTTCTCTTTCTCTTCTATTATCCTCCGCTATGCATCTGTGAACGCACAATGTAATTTCAAGCTTGACCTGAACTTCACGGAGAATAGTCTCGCGTCTAACTTTATCAAGCTCTGCCCAATTACATAACCGACAAGATCTCCGGTATGACCAGTGAACCAACGGTGATGCCTCGCTGTTTAGTCCTTCGTAATAGAACTTAATGCCATATTTTACGAGCTCGTAAAGCAGGCAATTAAGATCGCCACGGACCGTCATCGATGCTATTCGGTGGCTCGTCGGGAAAATTGATAGCAAATTAAATGTTGTTCACTCAAAGATGCGCTTGCCATTCTTTTACGTTTATTATACATAAAACCATCGGAATGTCGATTCAAATTACAGATTCCAACTTAAAGCTACTTTTTCCAGAACAAAGATTTTAGGCAAAATAAATTCTTTTATCGCAAAATCTCGACTTCCAACATTATCTCTCTCACAGATAAAACCTTGAATTCAATTTCGGTCAAAATTTACTTGATTTTATGGTAAATAATGAACATTTTTGATACAATCCATGAAGGTACAATCACTGTTACAACAATATATCTATCCCGGTTTCGTTCGCTCACACTCTGTTTAGTTGTAATCCTACCATTTCCCTATCCTCCGAGTTACGATGTTAATACGTCGAACTAACAACTTTCGCGACAGAACAATGACTGCGGAACGGGTTCTCATTATACCGAGACTAGATTAGCACAGGCAGTTCATTAAGCTTGCGAGCTATGTAGGATCCGGGACGATAAATATTTACGTACTGCCGAATGTGGGTTACGTTTGCATATCGCACCCACGGAAGGATATTAAGAGCCGTTGCGAATACTATGGATCGAGAACGACGGGGGGGTACTACTGCGTAATAGTCCTGATAAGGAACTCACTTCCTTCGACTCACGCATCACGAGTTTTCCGCTTTTATCGTTTTGCCTTTGGCCATCAACTCCCCCATTACAAGCCTACGTCCGTTTGTCTGACATATTACTCGCTTATTTAAATACTGTTACCCTCTGAGTTCCAACATATCAAATTCCCTTCATCGGAGACCCACTTTATCCTAAAATTATCCTTCCATTATTTTTTACGACTCTCTGTATTTATTACTGTTTATACATGCGGAATATCTTTCTATCGGAAATTCATATCTCTTTCGACTGTCTCAATGCCCTCGTTCTTGCCTTGTTTTTGCCTCGATAGCTAATAATGTGCCTTCATACATATTATTAGCCTTACCTTTTAAGCCATCAAGATTAATTCCGCGCCTATTTTATATATCTGTCACAAGGAATACGAATATCTGGAATGCTATCGACTGGAAACTCGGAAGAAATTTGGAAAGAAAGAGGTTGGCAGAGTCAAACGCTGAAAAATTACAGAATACATTTGGAATTGGCTATACTTAGATCAGCGCGGAAGACAAGCTCTCAGGAATGATCGATGACGACATAATTATTAATCATTTGGTACTTATCGCGAGCAATATCTCTTAGGAACCATGTGGGAGAATGAATAGTCTGAATGCAAACGCCGATCGATCCAACGGGCAGATATGAAGAAAACTCGAGGGCGAGGAGATATACGAGCGAGAGAAAACTATTTCTATGACAGAGAAGCTCTCTCCAATGTTCAAATGCTTATTCAGATTCAATTCCGATCGGTCGATGAGCGTGCCCGCCGAGTTTCGAGAGCACGATCGTGAAGCTGCGTGACGTATACAACCGAGAGTCATATAAAAATAAAGGCATCGGGAGATGCCGAGAATTCCCAGAATCCCGTTTCCGTATTTTCTCGCCACCGTGCACGTAACATCTGTATTTGCGCTCTCGTGCGTATCTCGTCCGCAGGATATTCCGATATGGACGTGCCGAAATAGAGAAATGAGAGAGATATGGATTGAATGAAAACTCGCGGGTTTATTATTATTTCGCGCATGTTGTAATATGTATCCGTAACTCCGCGCATTCGCGGAGAATCTGATTTGCCTCAGTAACCTCGGTACACTTTACATCGGGGTTTCCTAATTCGCGGCGCGAGCGAGGATAGAATCTCTGCATTGTACGAGCATTGAATTATTATCCGCGTTACATCTCATACGGCAAAGAGCGTATTGAATTCTATACCGCAACACCACCTCGCACGTTTCATATCATATTTAAAGGGTATTAGCCTAAGGCCTTGCATACTCGACGCCCGCGATTTACGTTCTATCGCCGATATGAAACCTTGCACTTCCGATTCGACGCTGCGAGAAGCGCGACGACGCATTTTTTTTCCCCCTCCGCCGATCGCCCCATTCGGCAAATGAATGGCTTACCTCGCGTGCGATCGTTTATTCATGCGTCGCTTATAAATGAATCATCGCGCATTCGCTCGTGCGCCTCGGATGCGCCTCGACTCTCACTTCAATGACAATTACATTCGCTTTCCGCTCGCCTTGACAACCGGAGCGGCCCCAAGGACGTCTTAGACGGACGTCTCTCTCCGTAACATCCACTAACTTCATCCTCGTTTTCTCCCGTTGCTCCACTTTACACCCGTTCTATTTCCTTTTTTTTTTAAGCACCGGGCTACTCAACAAGAATCAAATTCTGAACTTTACGCGAGTTGCTTCCACATCGCTATAAATGCTTTAATTAGAAACTTTACGTGGATTTTCAAATAAGCTAGTTTTAAGATCTAGGCTATTTTTTGTAAAACATAAAATGCAGATATTAACGTTATATTCTTTAATGTATCTCAAATTATTTATTATACTTCCATAATATTCCGTTTATGTTCATCCAATATCGTATTCAATCGTAAAATGTGGTTTATTTTGTTACAATTTAAAATTGTAGTGAAGAAAGCGTTCAATTAATTTATCATGGGAAAAAAAACACAAACTCCAATTCCGAATCTGCAAGCTTGACAATTCCGTTTTGATAAAAAAAATAGATTTTGTAAAAAAAAAGATTTTGATAAAAAAAATACAAATTAAGCTTAAATAACAAACATTTTCCAACGTTACTTTCGTCCTGCATCAACATTTACTTGCTACTTAATGAGTTGATGCAACAGCGAGCCCAATCGAACGAGTTGCGTGGATGTTCTCTAGTCTACCTCGTAACTATCGGAAATCGACACTTGACCCAAGACGTCGAAGTGAAACGTAGGTACCTCTTAGTAGGACATTTAGTTTTAAACGAAAAGGTCTGTCAGTCTCTGTAAGTGCACGTTCGAGTACTAACTGAGAACTCCAATTCCCTTGGAAGTGCCGAGCGATGAGGGTGACTAAAATAGTAGGAAAGAAAATGACAGGACCGGAAAAGCTCGGGGCTGAAAGCAAAACGGTATGCGAAAGAAGAAAGGGAGAGAGAAAGAAAACATCGAATATTTACGCTTT